GTTTTGAAATATTAATTAGGCTGAAACAAGTTTGTAATTTTCAATTCGTGGGGATCTAACATGAGGTTATAGTTCGATGGAGATCTGATATTATATAATAGTTCCGGTAAATAGATCGTCTACCAAAAAAAAAACAGAAACTCATACTTGGGCCTGATCAAGCGACTTTATTATTGCCTGGATTCTCACACAGACCGGCTTCCTCGTGTTCCAACCCTATGCTCTTCAAGAATCTCTTTATATGGGCTCTTGCGAATCTTTAAATTAGGGCTTGTTAGAGCATTATTAAATCCACGTGGCTATTTTAAATGTAACCCAACGAAAAAACAAAAGCATTTCCCGGTAATAATGTTTCCAGAAACGAACAAAAGAATCCATAAATATTTATTTTATGACCTTTCGCCCCCCCCCCCTTTTCCAATTCATTTTTATTCTAAAAAAATGAATTAGAAAAAAGGGGATTAGTTCCCGATCGTTGATCGTATCTCTAACTTTTTTTATCCTTTCTGATATTAATAACTAGAATTAAAAAAAGGGAAATGTTAATGCATCTGGAAATAAACGATTAATCTCTATTAATAAACCTGCTAACAAAACGAACCATAGAGTACTTAGTATGAAACTGTGTTTGAATGTTGAAATTGGCATAACAGTTTTCCAAGCTATAACCATAACCATATTCAGCGAAAATTCATTTTGTAGTATCCCCTATATATTAAAAACATTTAAAAAATTATAACCTCAATTTTGTAATAATTAAAAAAGAATCTCATGCTTAGGTGTCACTCAATTAGATAGTCAATTACATTCAATTGAAAAATAAGTAGGTCCACGTTGGATTTTTATATGTCGCTAGATATATTAGTTGGTCAAACTATATGATATGATGATATGATATGATATTTACGATAGAAGCATTTATGATTGTTTCCTTAGATATAATTACTATTTTATTTTCTTTTCTTAACTAAAACCTACGGAATTACCATAAATGACTAATATATATATGATAATTAATGATTTTAATAATAAATATTTGATAACAATTTATGTCTCCTCCATCATATTTTCTTTAATTTTATATTACTAAAGTAAATTAAACAATCAAATTAGCTATAAAACTAAACTTTAGATTTTTTCGTATATATTATATTTTAAATTTTACAAAACGAGAATAAATGACTTAAACTATTAAAATTCTTATGATAAAAATTAATGATCAATAGTTTCACATTTTTATTATAAAAAGATGCACATGATTTTTAAACCATATGAGTAAAAATTATCATTCAATAATAAAACAAATATATATATATATATATATAGATTAAACTATATACCATATAAGATTACATAAATATTTTAATTTCAAAAATTTCAATGAATTTTCAAGAACATTTATAAATTATAAACTTATTAAATTTTTCACATTGAATTTTTTTTGTTATGAATGATTTAAATATCTTAGCTCTTTTTTTAATTTTATATTATTAAAAATATTAAACAATCGATAATATGTTTTTTTTTGGTATATATCATACTAACGAATGGATCTGATTTTATAAAAACTGTAGGATTTGGATATGGTTAAATTTATAACCGATTAAACTGAAATTATAATACAAATATTTTATATGAATTTATATTAATTTTACCGAACATTTTAAAACAACACTGTAATTTTTTTACAACGAGTGGTAAAAAAAATATTGTAGATAAAAAATGTATTTAATTTAAAGTACTTTTTATTCCGAATCATTATTAAAATTGAAGGATATGTTGTTCACTCGTTTATATAAAGATATTTTGAATTAGATCTCTCATTATTTTGAGGTATCTACAATTTGAGAATTCTATAGGAAAAAAACTTCCCATTGAAATTTCTTTTATTATAGTTGCGAATCAGTATATTATTTTTAATGTTAGGCTTCAGCTTGTAAACTTGGGCTACATTTAGTTAATAACCAAAACGTATCCATTTATGTTAGGTTAAATTTATTTCTTAAATGTATATGTTGCTCGCTAGATAGAAAAGAACAATATGCTCCAAATTCGTTTAATTCCAATAAGTGGAGAGGTCGTAAGGTATTTATCTGATCGAATCTACAATGCTATAATTGTAATAAAAATAAATACTTATCTCATATTCGAGAGCATATATACGAAGAAAGCTACACACTTCACGAAGAGAGATAACCTAACCAACCAAGTAATCTCCCATCTCTTTTTTTATCATCAACATCCACCTTTTGAGTTTGGATCAATAACAAAGACCCAAATTTTATGATTAAAAAACAACAGAACTTGATAGTACTTGTAAAAAAACAAAAGAACTTGTCGTAGACTAATGCAAACTTCAAAGCAAAAGAGAAAAGAAAGAAGACATTTAATAGAAGACTATCCTAAACCATCAGGGACCAAAAGTCACTCGAAGGCCCATGCTCCTGAACCTCATCTTCTTCCTTATGCGTGTAAATATTCTTGATGTTAATGCACATATCTTCTGGAGTCTTGTCTATGATCATATCCGCAATAGTCTTGGGCGGCCAGGTCAAGAAGTCCAATGATGTTCAAATATTTAGCAGCCTACAAAACAAATCATTAAAAAGACTCAAGTCCAGTCCACTTTTCTTTTAATGTCATATTTAATCTGGAGCAGAGGAACTCCTGATGTGTTCAGATCTACATGCACCATAAGAGTTACTAAACATTACAAAAATGACAATAGAGCGCTTCTTGGAATGAGTAAAGCCGGTAATGGTAAAATTTTGGCCATAAAAGAGTTGCTCCATATCTAAGAGAAAAGAATACAATTAATGGTAAGCCTGATAGAACCTGAGGCGTAAACTGAGATCAATCTAAATCAACCCACACAAAAACATCATAACCAATCTAAGAATAGGTAACAATGAACTCAACTTATATTAAAATACCTCAGAGCCAGGGGCTTAACCACCATCGCCGGTGACAGAGGAGTTTCTTAGGACAATAAGGCATATGAGGAGACCTAGAGCTGCTCGCAAAGGAGGAGACGAAGTGAATCGTTCGAAGAATTGACGTTTGTTTCTTTTTGAAAGAATCTGCATCAGATTTCATAAAATAATCAGAATAGGATGAAACCTTGAAACGAATTGTAGATCTACCTAGACTTTATTTTGGTGCTAGAGCTTCCAATCAAACGATACTTAAGAATTATTAGGGTTTGAGATTGGGGCCGAAAAATCAATTATGCAGAGAATTCTTAGATTTGCAGTAAAGCATATTCTAACTGTATATGAAATCGATAAGAGGGCTAACCTTTTTACAGGTGCAGTACACCGCCTTGAAGAGGATAACTCTCATTCAATATCAGATCGTGCTTGATGTCTGTCTATGGAGTTAAGTCGTCTGTTTAAAGAGATGGATCAAACCATCGTGACTGTTCATATTTTTAGAACCATATACGAAACAACGACATGGAAGCCACATACAGAGCTTTTACATGACGATTCGTCTAACTCTTCATCACCAAACTCCATTGTTTCTGCAGAACATCAGAGATCGATGAAGTAATTTTTATTTTTTTTGTCGGCAGATCGATGAAGTAGATAAACCCTTACGTTTAGAAGCGTAGAAGAAATCCCTCTGTACGGTTCAAAACAAAAGAATAGCCCAAAACAAAAGAATCCAAGATAAAGCCCAGTCTAAATGTGAACAAACCCAAAACGAAATTCATAGTTAAACATAAGTACACGTGTCAGTCTCTTGTCACACTATTTAGTGACGTGGCAGTCTAAAAAGACTGAAAACCATACTTTATATATAAAGATTTATAATGCCGCATGAATATCTATTTGTTATATGAGTTGAACTATAATTACAATTTCTAAATCACTTGAATCACTTGAACTATAATTAACTAACAGTTTACTGCAACTGAGGCTTCTTACTTTTTAAATTTTTTTTGATCTTTTTGCTTTATTTTAACAGTAACTAAATCGAAGTAAAGATTATAAATTTGATGAAAAACAATTAGTTAAAATTCTTTACAACTTTTTTTTATCTTTAAACAAACAGAGTTGTGTTCAATTGAAGACATATTAATTTGATGAACACTAAATATGGAAGAATATAAAAAAATTTCTCTCATTCTGTTTTGTTTTTTTATTTTTTCTTATTATTTTTTTTGTGAAAAGTTTTGTTTTTTATTTTTATTTTCAAAATTGATATTAATTCCAGATTTCATCATTTTATTAGATGATAGAAGTCTTTTTGTTCTTTTATTTAAATATATAATATTTTTTTAATAAATGACTTTTTGACAATATGACTCTAAATGTAATCATATTATATATTTGTATAATATATAATATGATCTCAAAATAAATAATTATGTTTTTTGGTATAAAACTGAATAAACTGAAAACCGATGGTATATAAACCAAATTGGATTTAAAATAGTAGTTATATTTTAATAAACAAAATACCAAAAAATCGAACCGAACTAAAACCCGATATCCGGATTGAACACCCCTAATGCAAATGAACTGAACTATTGTTTTATTTTTGAAAACATAATAAAAATAACAATTTCATCCCGCATAAGGCGCAGGTCTTATACTAGTTGCTTTAGTTATTCCAAGTAACTTACTCTACTTGACTTAAGCTTAGTTAAAAAAAAAAACTTGATCTTCCATGAATGCGGAATCTGCCATTTCCCACCTTCCTCTACAAAAAAAGAATATTAACAGTGAGTTTCATAGCGCGATTGATTGCCTGAGATGTTATTAAACTTACAACAAGAAAACTTTTTTGTTTACCATGGAACTTGTCAGGAGTTAAACCAGTAAGCTTAGATGCAGCCTCTGCGAGAAGGAATGCATCAGGAATGTTGTCTCCTTCAGAACAGTAACATAGCAAACATGTCACCTTCAAGCCTCTTGCCTAACCCCGAGAAGATCATCCAAGTGTTTAGAATGGGCAGGTGGATAAATTGTTGACTAGTAAGTCGTTGAATTACCTTAAAAGCTGAGAAAAAGAGCTGCAAATGGCAAGCTGGGGTAGTAGTCTATGTCTTCAAGCTCATCTTCTGAGGGGAAAGTCAGCTCTTCTTTACAGTTCTCCTCAAAGACAGAGCTAAGATACTTCCAACACCTTCCTTCTGAATCATACTCATTCAATCTTCCAAATCCAAGCCTTTCACAGTGATCATCTCTTCCATTAGCTTCGGCATTAGACAGATAATACACCTGTGGGCCTCTAAAGGAGAACACAAGTTAACTTGTAAAGACGTTACTCTTAGGAATGAAATGAAAAAGGTGCAAATGAAGCTCAATTTATTTACAGAACAAGTAAAAGAGGCGTCATAGTTACCGTGACATATCCAAGTTATGCTTCAGCCTTTGGAAGTCTAAACTCGAAAGCACAATAACATGCTTCTTTCCACTCGAAGCAGCAAAATCTGCTATGTTCTCCGCAAATTTAATCATCATTCCCTGTGTTTAAATCAACAATATGAGCTTAGAATGTCTCACTAACTGTGAAAACCTCAAGCTAACTGGCTGTTCCAAACATCTAACACAAGAAGCTGAGAAAGATAAACAGAAAAGGTAAAAGAAATGTAAGACCTTTGCAACTGGAGACCGTTGCTGAGCAAGAGTAGTAGCAGTTGAAGATGACTCATAAACTGAAAACACACACAAAAGGTAAGAGAAACACAAAGGTAAGAGAATGCTTGAGGGTTCACAAGGACAAAGAGCTGACTCAGCTGTATAAATCAGAAAACAATGTCTTTATTATAGCAAACTCCATTCAATAACATAATCAAATAAGTCACAAGATGTCTTGTTAGAGGCCAAAACAACTCCCCTAATTAAATCTGAATGAAAAATCTTTAATGAAGCAAATAGTTTGAGAAAAGGAACGAACCCTCGAGAGGAAGAGCGATATCACCACAAGGAAGAGGGCAATAAGCGTCATTGCCAACACAAGGAAGCAGATAAGGATCATCGAGATAACCAACTCAGTCTGCACCACTAGATGTCACTAGAAGATCAACAGCTAACTGCCCTACGTTCCCTACTGACAATGCAGGCTGGTGGGAAAACACAAAACCCATTAAAGTTCTTGAATTAGAGAAATCTCTAAACAAAATGTTCCCTAAAGTTTCTAACTTTCCATCAACTAAAACGTGATTTCTCAAGAAAGCTGCAGTGTTTTTTTTTCGATTTCAAGAAAACGACTTACGAGAATCAAAGTAGAGCATTCTTCATGCACTTGCCTTCCTTCTTCAATAACAAACTCCATTACTCAAACGAAGCAACACACTGATTTCAGAATCGGACTGAGACTTTCTCTACGACCAAAGTCACTGAATCTCTCTGCTTCAGTAATAAGAAAGTCTTCTTTGAGCGTGCTCGGAGAGCAACTGCTTTGGGCCAATAAATTTATCAATATTATGGGCTAAGAGGATAACAGTATTTTCTTAAAGTGAAAACGCCCAATAAATGTATTATTTTTCTAAATTGCATTTCAACTTCTTGTAACAATTTAGGGGGTGTTATTCAATTAGTGATTTAAAATCAATTCTAAATATTTTACAATCTATCAAATTTTAAAATTTTAAGATTGTTAAAGTTGATGGATTCTAAAATCTCTGCAATATCCATTGGATTTTGAATTTAATCATTTATTCATTAGAATCCATCACCAATGATTTGAAATCCATTTATATTACAAAAAATTTTAAAATCCTTAAAAGTTGAATAACACCAGATTTTAAAATCTGAAATTCAATCATAGATTGAATAACACTGAATTTTAAAATAGAATTTAGAATCATCAATTGAATAACAATGGATTGTGTTTAGAGTTAAACTCTTTTAAAATACATGATTGAATAACACCATCTTATATATGCGACTTGGATCTAGACCTGGGCACAAATGCTTGATACTCGGTTTGTATTTGCTATTTGACTCGGTTTGGTTTAAAAAAACAAGTATCTGCTATAAACAAGTCGAGTAACAAGTAAGTGAATTTTATTACTCGCAAGTATCAAGTTCATTTTTATTTTTAACTACTTGACTTGTTACTTGGTTTGTTACTTAATATCCTCTACTTGTCCCATTATTTGTTATATATTATTTGGTTTATTAAATAGTTGGTATCTATTTTATTAATTAATTAAATTTATGTATTACATTTTATTAGGGAGCATACAAAATTATTCATTGCTAGCTTCCTCTTCGTTACTTTATAGGTACATGATCTTTAAAGATGAGTATTTGTTCACCGACTTAAGTATCAAGTATTCTATTTAAGTTACTTATAATTATAAAACAAATATCATATTATAGAATAAAATTAATTACTTGACTTTGTTTTGTTTGTTAATGAACTAAGATACATTTTCCTAAATCATAGTAAAATAACTCGTTTATATTTTCACTTTCGTTAGTGCATCAACATAAGTTTTAAATTTATATAAGCATCCTTTAAATTTTCTATTTTTTATATAATCTATTTTTGAATTGACTAAAATATAAAAAAAACATCAATAATTTACCGTTAAATTCTAATGAATCATCGAATAATTTACCAATAGTTATATTTACAAGTAACAAGTAATAAAAAACAAGTAACATGCAAGTCTGATAATTTTTTGCAAGTACTTGAAACTGAAAGTACTCGTTTTTAATAAACCTAAGTACAAATTAAAAAATTTACTACTCGTACAAGCCATGCCGAGTACTATGTATACCAAAAATACAGAGTATTCGGCTTGTACCCATCCCTAGTTGGATCTATGCAAGTAACTACATCGCGCTTTTAAGGGCATATCAGAATCTAATAATAATTAAAATCTATGCAAGTATTTTCGCACTTTTAAGGGCAGATCAGAATCTAATAATAATTAAAATGCAATTACATGCATTTCAACTTCTTGTAACAATTTACTATTTTTTAATTATTATTAGATTCTGATCTATCCTTAAAAGCGCGAAAATACTTTTTAACAACATTTAATTTACAAATGTAATATATTTTACATTTTTGATAAGTAAAGTTTAAACATTTTAATTTACTGTACTTCAAAATTATATAATTATATTATTTTATTTATATTAAATATTAAATTATATCTTACTTAATTTTATTTTAAAATTATTTCAACTTGTTTGTTATAAATATGTAATAAAATCTTTCAATTGATTGACTAATTGTGTGGTGTATAATTATTTGATAAATTTTAAATATTAAAATTTATATTATGTCAATTTATTAATTTTAACATTTTATTTGTTTAAAAATTATTCAATGTCAACTTAAACCAAGTATAATCTCGCATCATGGTCTTCATAATAAAATAATCTAAGGAAAAGTAACTAATAAAAGTTATACTAAATTTAAATAAATTTATTTCTATTTATGAAAATATTTATTAAATAATCCATGAATTAATTATATATGAAATGAAATTATTTTCAGTATCTAAACTCCCGAAAAATAGTTATACTTATTTTTGTAAATAAACTAAGTGCTTTATCCAAATCAGTGAAAATAAATAAAATATTATAAAGATGTAAGATTTAATATTTATGTTATTTGGATGCAAGATTAATTATTCTGTTATTTGGAAACACATTTACTAATAGTATAACTGATGACATATTAATTAATTTGAGTGAGTTTAACTATATATTAGAAGAGTGTATTTAATTTAAAAACTTGCAAAAAAATATAAGGTCCATGAGAGAATGATTTTTTCTTAAATAAAAAAGATTTTGTACTTTGTCAAGTTAAATACTTTTATTTCTTTGAATTTGATCGATATATTAGAGTAGCTACGTTCGTTTAAACTCATCACACTATATTCGTATGTAACAATAGTTGCTTTTTATATTATTACCTGTAACTCTGTAAGTACCAAAGGTAAATGCAAAATATAGATCGCAGCTACTCAGGGGTTTGTAGTGTAAACTTATATTAATGTTTGTTTTTAAAGGTTTATTTTAATATATGTTTGCCTTGTTTTAAACTCGGGTTCATACCTAATAATGATGCATGTATCAGTTGTAGATGGGAACTTGACAAGAAAAACGTTCCCCTCAGAATTTCTTAGTCTAATGGCATGTATATAAGTGTTCTCATTATATCATAATCTGAACTGCATATGAAAATGAAACCTACTGTCCAATCAAATGAATTATAAAACAAGAAAAGACATTGTCCAATCAAAGGCAAATATAGATAGCCAACACCAAAAAAACGTGTAATGCTCTGTGATTATCAGCGACAATCTTTTTTATTCAGTATGAAATGATTGATTATACAATTATTGTCTAAAACAAACCACGTATCATATCATTGACAAAGGTAATAATTCAAATACGGATGAGTTACGCATTCAAAATGGCATGCAAAGACTTTATGATGTTGGATGCCTCTTCGGTGTACCCTATCAAAGTAATGGCAATAACTGACATCAATATCAACCAATATTACAATAGACTGAACACGTTTCTCTATAGATATTATAATAGTTATGCATTGTAAATAAATAATGATAAGCATGCATGTGTATAAAATTAATAACTGTGGAAACTAAAATGAAGATTATTGGAAACGCAAATAATTAAAGGTGAATACACCCGTATGTCAAGGAGTGGTAGACCAAGCAGTCCATATATTCAAATAATAAATTATGGAACAAAAACTTATCCCCTAATTGAAAACTCTTACTTTTTTTCGTGAACCATCTCTTTTAGTGTCTTCGTCCTATATATGTCCATTGATTAAATCTAATAATACACAACTCGAACCATAATCTCAACAAACAATCGCTTTTTAGTATATTTTAGTTTTGAAGATCACACATGTCATTGCGATAATCATCCATGTGTGATGCAAAAAATTCTTTATTTCGTTAGCTTTTAAAGAAATATCGGGTAGTGTTTTCTCTTCGTCAAACAAGGCCAAATGTGTTGCATGATCTTATTACAATGTTAAGAAGCAAACATAGATTACATTTTATAATGATATTAAGTGAGTAAAGCGATAGCAACGGCATATGATACGAATAATTAATGATTTTAGGCGATTATATCATTTCTTTTTCTCGAGACGCTTGCATAAATCTCACCTAACAAAAACACTGATACTAGTTTTCATATGCATGGATGGACACATTGTGATGTCACTGATATAAGTTGTATGTATAACCATATCGTAATACGTGTACCATTTTAGCTAAAACTATAGTATATAGTTTGTTTTCTGACACAACCTTTGAGTTTTGTTTAGATTTTTTTTAATCTCTGATGAAAAATATCTAGCAAACTTGGACGACTAAAACTGATTAAGTAATGTCCGATTAGATCAGATTTCAAGGGTATTTTCATTTTGGTAAATCACATTCCACATATATGCTTATTTGTAATCCCACCCCTAACTTTCTGGGGGGCATCGATAACCCAAACCTAAAAGGACCATAAAATATTTAATATGGATCAATTATATTCTAAATCGAAATTATATTTTTAATTTCAACACTGCATTCATCATTTAATTATAACCAAATTACAACTACTGCGGCTGTAAATCCTTATTTGAAATCATTTTGTATAATGGCAAACGTGTTGGATCAAATCAATTACCGTTACAAAAGCTAATCAACGAAAAAGAAAGATTAATCTTCAAATGTTTTAATTCTAAAAAAACACGATTTCATTTCGGTCTTTATTTAACCATGCACGAGTCTAGCGATAATATGTTTGCAATAAATTTTCTCGTAGTGTATTTCTATAATATTATTTGAGAAGTCAGTTTCCTACGTGGCGCGCTCACGTTAACTCTCGCGATGTCCGAATTATTAAATTTTAAAATTATTTTTTTATATTTATATTTTTTACCTTTTTCCAAATAACATATATAATAAAAAAGAAATATTTCTAAAATTTTAAAACAAATTTTAAAACGAAAATATATATATAATAGGACTTTATTAAGGAAAGTTCACAAAATAGTAATACCCCCATTAATACATATTTTAAATAACATAAATATATTTTTAAAATAAAAAATATGTATATGTTCATGAACATCTAAAAATTTATCAGTTACACTTTATTTTCTAATATTTTTAGAAATCAACATATAATTTGATAAATATTATGAAATACATGTATATTTAAGCGATAAATAAAACTAATTTCATTTGATTTAACTAAAATAAAGACTAAATAAATATTATGAAAATACATGTATATTTAAGCGATAAATAAAACTAATTTGATATGATTTGA